CGGTTGGTTTTTCCTGCCAAATGGCCATATAGACACGCGCGCATGCACGCACGCACAAACCGAAGTGACAGCACTGGTTGGCAGTCACGGCACAGTGACACTAGTTAGGCCAATAATGAGACATGATATCCCTCCCTCCAGAGGTCAAAAACCTCTCTATCTCTGTCTGTCTCTGAGTTAAAAGTCTTACAGCCAAATGAATTATTCTTCAATTACTCTTGCAAGAGACGCACATCATCCTTAGGCTCTTCTCTCCTCATTATATTCATAAATCCCCCAATCTCCTCCATACAGCAGTCAAGAAAATTATTATTACAATTTTTCGACTCATTCTGCGACCCCCACAACCCTATTACCTTTTTTCCATCCAAATCCCCTCTGCTGCTTCTTTCCCCTTTATCCTCTCTACCACCCCTGAGACACAACACAGATGTGCGAGTACACAGTGACGCGCACATATGTACACATAAATGTGAACACAAACACACTTACTTCTTGGTTTGTGTTGGGGGTTATCAGTTTGACACAGGGCACTCTGATTATGTATTTTCTGTGCTCCAGTGAGGGGGGCGGGGGGCGATAAGAGGCCGGCAGACACCACTTTTTTCGATGTGGGGTGGGAGCGGCGGAGTGGAGGGCTCCCAGGTGGCAGTGGGTGAAGATTTGTATCTTAACCTTTGTGATTTTTTTTAAATATTCTGCTTGTGGGAACTAACAGAAAAAATTTAATTAAAAGAAATCAATAATTTCTTACTTCTTTCTCCCACTCTTTCTTTTTTCATTCATTCATATGCTGTAAGCCACTCCACTGAGCCACCACGATGGATAGAACATATGATGCTGGTTATGAAATTAAATAGCTTCCCTGTCATAAACCAGACTGTTTTATTTGCTCATAAACACACAGAGAGAATGAGGTATTACCCACGGTCCAATTCTGTCAAATTTAGAGAGCATTCCTCAAAGGTCCTAACTTTTTCTCAGGAAGAACAACAAAAACCACTGGAGCAGCACGGCTGAATTAATCTACAAGGCCCCAAATTAAGACCAGAAACATCCAAGTTCTGCACATCAGAGGAAGACAACACATAGTTATTACAGTCTCCAAATATACCCCTTTTCATGTCTGACACATTCTTCAACAGTCTCTCCATTTGTTATGTGTTTGGCCTCATCTCCCTCTGCCTTGGGCAGGAACTTTCACACAAACACACACACACACACAAAGGCATTTTGAGGCCCACGGTGTCTTAGGGCAGCGATAGGCTGATGTATGAGGAGGAGCATTGTGAGTAGGCATGACAAGCAAAGGGAAGCCATCAGTGGGACATCTAAGGCCCGGGGAATGAAGGCTCTCTGGCACCCAGAGCTGCTCTCAAACACTGGCTCTCTGATAGAGCCGACCTTGGACTTAATCACTACCAGAAGAAAAGAGCACCACTTGACAGGAAGATGGAGAGACAGAGGGAGGGTGTGTGTGTGTGTGTGTGTGTGTGTGTGTGTGTGTGTGTGTGTGTGTGTGTGTGTGTGTGTGTGTGTGTGTGTGTGAGAAAGACAAAAACACATACCGCATGAGTAAAAGACAAAGAGATACATACTGAGTGACAAAGACTAAAGCCAGAAAGAGATTGGGGAGAGAAAGAGACATAAACAGGTAACAGCACTGTTTAAAGAGTTTTATAATGACTCTGCTGGTGCAGGTAACAGCAAAGTGCATCAGAGACTGCCAGAGAGGAAAAGAGACAGCACAGAAAACACAGCATGCATCCCCATCTCAGATACACGCAAATCTATTTTCTCAACGATACGCACAGACACACAATCGCATCTGCAGAGCGAACCTTCCACCCTTTTACGCCTACAACCACAGACGCACACACTAAACCTATTGTGCTTCCACCTCTGCAGCTTCTCGCAGACTTCACTAAAGGGTGAACCCTCTGAAACCGAATTAGGAAAATGATTAATCTCAAGCGGATCTACACAGACGAACGCATATACATAAAGTTCTCAAATTAGCTGCCGAGAGGGAGAGCGCCGAATCGCTGAAAGCTTCGGGACACCCACAAAGCCTCCACCCCAAGATGTTTTGTATCCATTATACAGCCTTGGGATGTGACAAGCCTCATCAATAAAACTTTTATTAATGTCAAGAGCTTCGAGCCAACTTTGAGCTTTAATCTAAAAGCAGCCGTAAAGACATTTTTACAGTATATCCCTGGCACAGTAAAACACTAAGCCACATTAGACACGCGTTTACTCTTAAAATCATCAGTTTTTGTTCTCACGTTTGAAACAGCGTATAATGTTTAATTTACAGCCAGAAAGGAAAAGTGTTACTTGTTTTTCCATTAGAAAGCTCTACGCTCACAGCCAGCAGAGATCTTGATTTTGCCTTTTAGTTATTAACAAGATGATGATTTATCAAACAGCGCCTCGCTACAAATATCGAGTTGTGTTGCACATCAGCGCGGATCAGCACAGCTCCTGTGATACTGAAACACGGCAAAACCATCAGAGGAGCGTAAATGCCACAGCTTTACAGTTACTCTACAGACCATCTGCATCGAACTTATCGCCGCGGGTGGCCTATTTCTACCACCGGCTCACTTGATTTAGAAAATATGATTTCAATTGATTTTCTCATACATTAATTTCTGAAATGTCGGTATAAAAAGGCTATCAATCTGAAATGAGTGTGTCATAAGAGAGAAGTTAATAAAAGTAATGGATTTCTTTTCTTTCTTTTTTTTCCTGCACATAGCTGAGTAGCAAGTGAGGAGGATAGGAAGATTATCAGCAAGAGGGAGAGAAAGAGAGAGCGATCGAGGGAGGAAGAAAGTGGGAGGGAGTGCGCAATAATCGAACAAGAGAGCAGCGCTACAGTCCTGGAATGGCATGCGGGTCCACGGAGTCATCAGAAATGCAACGATTCTAAAAGAGAGAATATGATTTTCAGTCGACAGTGGCTGGGACCGAGTGGGAATCAATGAGAGGAGGAATCAACTGCTAAATGAGATAATTACTGTCAGAGATTATAGAGGGATGGAGAGAGGAAGAGACAGCAAAACGGAGGCTACGAGAAAAGAAACAGAAAGAGATGAATCAAACCAAATGAATAAAATGTTATCTCTGAAACATTTCCAGCCTGCCATATTTCAGAATTTAAGATCATTCCAGCGCTTAAATAGCAACTCCCTTCGAGAAAAAGCGAGTTATTTTTGATTTAATTGTGAGCAACAAGAACGAGCGCCATTACATTTTGAATAAGGAATGAAGAAGCACTCTCAATCAAATATAGTTACGGTATAGTTCGAATTTGAGCACTTGGAATCATTTAGTAATAACATACTGACCAAGCTGTTTGGTTTTTTTACATTAACATCAAGCATAAATCCCAGAAAATTGATTCAGTGGGAGAAACATTTCCTCACTCCATCCGAGTCTTCTTCAGTCTCATATAGCTCAATTACAGCATAAAGTTTCTTATCAATTAAAGAGTGGGGTTTGGTTAAACTATTTTGCTGTTATTGTTACAATAATGCAACATATTCTTTATTTATATATTTTTTGTGTGTGTGCGTGGGTTACATCGCATAATGAGAGACGTGATGAGGCTGAAAGCGTTTTTTTGTACTTCGAAGACAAAAGTAAACAAAAGTTTTACCACAAAGTCCACTCCATAGCTTCTCCGGAGGTACGTTTACCAGTAGAGTTGCGAACCACTGCCAATAACACAACTACCAGACAATTTTAAGCCAAAAGTGTCTGTGAAATTTTAACGTGCAGCTGATGTCGACTGGGCGACCACACGATCAAAACAAGCTACTATGAATCTGGTTTTTGTTTTTGTCCTTCCAGGACTTTTAGCCTCGCCTTGTGTGACAAATCTGCATCTTTCAAAAAAAATATATAAACATTATCAGAATTATGAACTTGTTCACCTGAACTCCTAAAACTTCACCTTGGTTAATACTGTAATAAATAATAATGAGGTGTGCTAGACTGTGTGCGTGCGTGAGGGCGGAGGTGTATGTACGCGTCCACCTCCATGTATGCTAATGCTGTTATGACTGGCTGGCTTCATTACTGTCTGTCTACAACACCATGGCCAAGGTCAGCAGAGGCTGCAGAGATGATAGGGGGCCAAAAGCATGAGCACAAATTAATCTGCTGTTTAATCTAATAATGCAGCGTGGCATCGGGTGCCTCAGTCCTATTAACACAACTGTAATTGCATTTGAGGAGGAATGGGAGCACACAGGTCCACAGAGGTACGCGCACACTCAAGTGTACACCGGAGTACATCGAACGCAAATGGAATTGTATTACACGAGCATGCGTGGACGTGGACATGACATGCACATCCGCACGTGGGTGCACAAACGTCCTATGTGGGTGTTAGGCTGGGGGAAAAGAAATAAATGGGAGGAAAAATAAGGTGCAGTGTTTTTCTGGTGAATTCAATTCAGGCAATCACCGTGTGTGGGTGCATGTGTGTCCATGTTTATATGGCATGGAACGCCTTTAAGCACGGAGCCCTGCTCATTAGCATGGTAATATCCAAACAGCAGGGTGTAGTCAGAACAGCAGTGTATTATTAGGATTCATCTCATTAGGCTTTCATGAGATTTAAAAGTTAACGAGAAATAACTTCAAAACTAAGTCTGAGATAAAATACACACCGGCGTACTGAGTTTACTCTCCAAAAGTTAAACTTCCCCCCTGGTGACAATGCATGGCCTGTGGCAATGCACAGAGCTGACCTGTAGTAACAGGATTAGACAAAAATGTTGGTCACGCCAGAACTTGTGGTGACATTTACTGCTACAAGTAATTACTGTGAAAAAGAGAAATTAGTCTTCTTTAAAGTGGCTCAACGGGATGCACTTTTACTTTACTGTAAGTAAACACACTGCTGGAGCTCAGAAGATTGGGCCTTCACTGAGGACTCAAGGTAAACTACGGCAATGCAAGTAAAGAATAGCTGTCATACTCACCGCAGTCAGATGGATGACTCCCTGAGAGGTCACGGGGCATCCCATGAAGCCGACAAACTGCAGCTCGGGACAATGTTCTGCTACTGCCCGCACAGACTGATCAGTGACCTGGAAAACAGAAGAGCAGAGAAGGATTCATCCAACATGTTTCATTCATTCAGACTTTGAGAGTCAACATGTTAAAATCAGAGTGAAAAACATCAGGATTCCCATTTTTCTGTCTTGTGCAGATTGCTGTTAAAGATGACCTTGCCAGCTTAATAAATAAATAACGAATAAAAAAATCTATTAAGAGTGCCTTTCAACAGTAGCGTGTGCAGACTGGTGCTGTCAGATTTGAGCCAAAATGTCTGCTCTCTTATTCCAACAGGCTTTGTGTTGATCAACAGAAGAGAAAAGGAGAATCAGAGGGGAGAAAAGGAAAAAAGAAGTCAAAAGTATGTGCCAAGCACTGTGGGCATCGACTTATGATGGATAGACCGTTCCCCATCATTCACCCAGCTGTCTACTAACCGCTCATAATGGATCTTAGATCAATAGGGAAGCAGAACATTTCCACTAGCTTCCACTGTAGTCATCAATATGGGCATTTATAGCACCTTCACCTCCTTCACTACACTCAACACCGCAACAATATGTGGAAGATTGTTTGTCCTCTCTGTCGGCTTCCTCAGCGCTTCCTCAAATTCTTCATCAATCACAAAGACAAAATAAGAGGAGAAAAAGGAGAGAGAACTGACAGCACTGATTAACTGAGAAAACAAAGCAAACAAACAACAAAGAACATTAGAGAGAAATAATCATGCTTTCTAGGCGTCTCTGTCAAAATCATCCATATTTACTTTTGAGATTCCCCAAAAGCAAGTCAGGAAAAGTAAATCGGAATATGGTCAAAAAGCCCATCAAATAGGAATGGATGCATCCAGACACCAACATTTCCTTATCAGATTCAGCGCACTGAGACTAAAATATATCTGATATGTTTCAAAGGAAATAAACAGCTCCATATTTTTATTCTAAATTACTAGAAGTCTGGAAGAAGCACTCATGCCTAAAAAAACACTGAAAGGCAGGATAGTTTAAGAATACTCAAAGGGACACATAGAAGGCTACTGCAAACTACTTCACTGCAGCATCATCAGTCAGCAAGATTTTTCCACAGTTTTCACTGTACTTCTGCACAGTACTGCATGTCCTCTATGGTCAAACCTCTTGTCAGTGTAGAACTGTGATCAGACATCTAATACTAGCAACCTATTCCCATAGTGTCATGTCTGAGGCTGATCAAACTACTTATTTGTAATTCTTTACTGATCATTCTATATACTTGTAGACTCCTCATTTCCTTGATGCTGTCCTACATTCAAACCCTTACACCGCTCTCTCTCTTTCTTCTTCCCTGCCCCGCTCCCCCTCACAAGGCTGCTTTAAAGGTTACTGAGTCGAGGTAGAGTAAGATGGAAAACTCAAGGGGGTAAAGAAATCACAAAAAGAAAGAACAAGGTGTCCATTTATCTTTCACCAAGTCAAGTTATCTGGGCAAAACACCTCGTATGAAGCTAAAAGCTTTGTCTTTTACCTTATCAGTATGGAGCTAAAGTGCCTTTAAAGTGTAAAATAGTTCCTAAAGAAGTGTGACTGAAAATGTAAGAATAGCTTTTAAGGTTATAATCCAGCAACTAAAAAGATGATCCAGGAGCAGACCTCTGAGCATCTAATTTTACCAGGTAAAAACAAAAGCTGGCGTTTGAAAATTACACTTTTTACCATATTTAACTGTGCTCTGTGGGTGGTAGTTGTCTCTGCTTTCATTAGGTTTTAAATAAGGACTCAGAAATAGTTTGCTGAATAAACAGCAAACTTTTTTTAAAATGTAGTGCGCGTATCAAGCTGAAATTTGTCCTGTACTTTGAATCGAATACCTGCAAAGGTAATATTAACCATTTGAACTTTCTATTTTTGCACATAGCAAAACATTCTGAAAATGACAAATATTCTCACAGACCTGCTAGTGTGGCTGTAGATTACATTATTGATCAACCCGCATGCAGAGTTATATCTATATTTAATGTTGCACGTCGACAGGAGGATTTTCTACACTACAGAACACAAGGATATCAGAATCAGAATCTTCCTCTGTATTACTGCTATAATCCGCTATAAAGTCATATTGTGATATCAATGACACAAACTTGTGTCAACACCTGAGGCAAAAAAAACCAAAACAGAACCTAAAAACAATATATGTATATTGCCAACACAAATCCATAACGTTCAGCTCATTTTGACAACAGTTTGACGTGTGAAGAGCTCTAGTCCACATCCCTTTACGGAGGGAATTTCCTTTCACAAGGATCAACCACACACACCTTGGCTCATCTGACTACTCACATAATCAATAATGAGTCGACAAACGGAATTGCCTCCAAGAGAGCGAAACCACTAGGGGTTAAATCCCTGAGAATCGCAATCAGTTGTTTTAGACCTGAAAAAAACCTCTTGAATAAGACCTGAAACATCTTCACAATCCAAAAAAAAGAAGTCCCATTCCTGCCTTCGTTTCAAACGCCTAACACTTGCATGACTTGGGTAATTTAGAACCTACACAGTCACCTTCTTAAGAAGCCTTAAACATTACGCCCTGTTTAGAGTAAATAGATTGAATCATCAAAAAAGGAGTGCTAAGGAGGGCAGTATATGAGGTTCGGTGCAGCTTTTGAAGGAATTCCTTTTTCCAGTGTAATATTTAAATCCTACAAAACAGAACAAGTGTTCTTCCTGGTCATTGCTGTATATACAAGCTGTAGTACTTTTTGAGCTTTGCACAGAGTGTGGTTTTTCAGCACAATCAATAACTGGATGCACCTTAAAAGTGCCTCAGGTTGAACCCATCACACTTTCCTTCCCCACTCAGTCAGGAAAGATTAAGTGAAGGTGAGTCAGCTATCCCACTTGGAGACACTGATGCATATGGATCCGGATCTGCAGGGCCAGGTAGAGATATGGAGAAGAGTAAACCAGAGTTGTCTTTTGAGTATGAAACTTAAAAAACTCCAGCTGGACCAGCCTAATCTGAGCAGCTGGCAGGTGAAGTGAGCTGGCCACAGCTCTCCCAACATGGCCTCTGCCAAAAAACCATCAAGGAAAACATTTTCAGGTTGACTACCAGCAAAATCAAAAAGCCGCACACCACCTCGATCCCCAAATCAGAACCTTCTGTAAGGGAGTCAAGGAGTCATAGCAGACGCCACCTCCAGACTGTCTTTCATACGGCTGTTTGTGTTGCAGGACTGTGTGGGTGCAGTCAAGAGTGTGCGCACGCGTATGGACGCACAAGAGAGCAGGTTACAAATCTAAAGTAACTCTCAGCAGGTGAGAAGGGAGACAGGGAAGGAAAAAAAGTTAAATCCCACCAGAGCAGAACAGGCCAGGAGGCCATGTACCATATCAGATTAAGCCCGTGTATGTGAGTGTGCGTGCATGTGTGCGTCCCTGTGTGAATGTGAGTAACACCATATGGGTTTATAACTAAGATTTGTCTCCAACCCAAAAACACAAAAACCCATCCCAAATTTCTCTTTGCTTCCCACTCCTCCCCCTCAACTTTTCATGGACTTTGATTTAAAAACATGAAAAAAGTCATGGCAGAGCTTTGGAGAAGTAGTGGCTAGCCAAGAGAGACCTTAAAGCCTTTTAGAAGGGATCTAGTTTAATGGTCTCTGGGTGAAGGAGGTAAGGAAAGCAGAAAAACACAGCGAGCTGGAATGGTGGAAATGCTGCAGTCATAAAGATAGCCTTTGTGTGTGTGCATGTGCGTGCATGTGTGTGTTAAAGAGCGGGAAGGTAATTGTTAAGAGTGCTGTGGTAGCAAAAAGGGGTAGTGCTGTACATGAATGTGTGGTTTTTTTGTCTGGCCGCCTGTTCTTTTCAAAATGCTGTGGCAGCACCCAAGGGCCACTTCTCATCCAATGAGGCTATTTAAGCTTGTCAATACGGTCAATCATACAACTTGTTTGCCTCCATCAAACGTCAGGTTAAGAGATGGAAAACGAAAGATCAGAAAGATTGTTGTTCATTTTCATCTCCCGTTAAAACGATTCATTCTTTACCAACAAAAACAACACATCGTGAATACATCTTTCCACAAGTTCTTGCTTTCTTACAGACATATTTCAGAAACACACACATAGATAAAGCCAGATAAAGCCAGTTCAATCACCGAGAGAGACTGTTATTCATCCAACGCATACACATGAGGAAATAGAGTTTCTTGGAAAAACTCATTTTCCCCCCTCAAAATCAAGCAACCTAACAGGGTGATAAAAAAAGGCTAATGGGAAGGTGCTAAAAACTGCAGTCCCTCCAGTGGCCTGTTTGAGGTTGGTTCCAAAAGAGAGTCAATCCTGATGTTCTTTCAGTAGCAATAAACACTTTTACAGCCTGGTCTAAAAAAAACTGGATTTGGTCTACTAACAATTTCTTCGCTTCATGACAACTATACAGGAAGTGAACTCACCCATGTGAGTTGCATTGAGCCTTCAAGTTCCATTATCTGGGCTGTGGTCACTTTCAATGTCTCTCACAGTTGCTAGTAGCTATTTGGTAGGTTACTGGCACAAATTACCCGATATCTGTTTGTTTGATGCCCTTACACAGAGTACGGATGCACTTTGGCTGTTACTGCCAGCAGACAGCCTAGCGTTTAACCCCTTTTTCCACATATGGTTACTTCTAGCTTTGGAAAAAACAAGATCGTATAGACTACAATGCTAAAGGTTTCAAAAACAGGACGCCAATGTGTGTCCAATGGTGGCTACATCCTTTTTTTGTTATATACAGTAGGTTAATTACTTACTGGAGCCAGTCGGTGTGAAGCGTGACCCTCCCATCCACCTGTCACTGTGCATTGGGCTGTGCGCACTTCCAAAACACAGATAACCTACACTCAACATCTAAACGCCTACTGTGAAAATACACAGACAGAGAGCTCACTGCTGCTTTTCTGCTAAACATGCTGCTCATGCTCTGCTTTCTGTGTAGACACAGTGAAACTGCAATGGTGGCTAGACAACTGAGTGGACCATGGAATTAAATTTGAATCGATTTTG